TGAACTTGTCCAGGTCAGTAGCAGCTAGTTTTGTTTCAAATTACTCTTCAGAGGGAAAAAATGCCTAATTTTATAGGCAATCTTCTTTCAGCAATAATTTCTTTTTTCCTATTCTGGATATACCAAAATACTGTTTATTTTTGTAAGTTAAATACTTAGATACTGAAATAAGGATTTCACTATCTTTTAACCTAAACTTCAGAGACAATTCCTCTAGAACCGAAATGCCTAACATCTGTACATGGCTGCACTGTTCTCCATAAAGGAAAGAGAAGTGCATCCCAGCCTGCAGATGTTAGGGGACTTGTGCATCAGAGCTGAGTCAGAGCAACATGAGTCTCATCCAGTCCTGCTCTGATCCGCTTTTGTGTGACATACAATCTCCACAACTTTAAGTGCTTAACTAGCATTTAGAAGTTGACTGATACCCTCTGTATTTTTTTTCTCCTTCCTGTCACCCATAAAGACATATAACCTATCACTTGGGTGCTTCAGTAAGCAAGGTGTGAAGACTGGATTTTCACTGTTGTTTTTATCATCATCTGCCTCCTTTCTTGTCTGTTTTGCACTGTAATTCTTAGACACAACATCAAGTAAATTGTGCAGGATACATATACAACTGTAGAATGAAAGCACAGTGGCAGGAGACGATATGGAAAGAAATTCATTACAATATGCAAAGTATTTTGAAATACAAAAGTCAAAGGCAGAAATTGATTTCAGAGAAGAAAGTTGTGTGGTTGGTGTGTTTGCAGACTGAGTTCAATTTGATTACCCTGGTAGTATGCTGATCTAGAAGAGCAGAGATGTAGTAGCTAATCTATGTAATTTCCACATTCCCCATACATTTCATTTAATGAGATGGAAGATGAACATATACTTACTGAGATTGTGGTTATCCTTTTTTTGTCTCTCCTTTGCCATTGCTCGTGTATCTGCTTCTGACAGAAAATAACATTTATTAAAACAGTTCTTAGGTTGCAATTCCAGTACTTCTTTCACCTTTTCAAAATGGCCTTTTGTCACAAAAAGCAGCCTTCTACTCTTTTTACTTCATTACTCATTTTATTATTAAACAAGATCATAAGCAAATCTATATTCTACCAGTACTAAATTTTTATCAAGTCTGGCAGGTTGCTTAAGGTTTCTTTATTGCATTTTTTTTTAATTTAAGAACATAGAAATAGTATGGAGGGGTATTTTTCTCCAATTTGCTGTATTTTACATCAGGATAAAACTTACAATACACTAATGTGAGTATGGATTTGTATATCCCATAATGCAAGAGTTAATCGGATTTGTAAGATATTGAACAAACTCACTGTTTTCTCTGAGTGAAATACACTAATAAACTGTACATGGTTGCTAGCATTCTTTGGATTAATTGAATGTAACTTTTATAGTTGTTAATCCACTAATATAGATTTGCCTTGAATAGTCTTATTGTAAGGTTTTAAGAGAATCATTTGTTCTATCCTGGAACAAATTTAATGGATGATAATTTATTTATACTGCTATTCAGAAGCCAACATGAGAAAGAATCCACTATGTTGCCTAAAATAATTCAGTTTATTAAAAGCATGATGTTCCTAAAAAACAGGGGACAAACATGGTTTCTGAATTGCCAAAGATGAGAACAGAAAGAAAACACTTCTCCTTAGTCTTTGTTGTATTCCTTAAATAAAACTACAATTTGCAAATTTCTCAGGAATTTAATACAGACATCTATTGCCTCTATTGCATCTATTCAGCTTTTAAGAGAAACTATCATATCTGAAATTATAAAATACTAAAATCTCAGAATTCTTTTACCTGTGAGTTCCCTTTTTACTGGTAAATTAGCTGGGCAAGAAGCATTTGTGAGACCCATATTAGCTGGTGCCATTCCCGGGTCACTGTTATATATATCCAAAATGCTGCTAGATAGCTTGAGGGGCAGGGAAAGGAAAGAAGAAGAAAAAAATATTAAAACAAGTTAAAGACTTAAAAGAATAAAAAATCCCATAAATACAAAGAGCAAACTTATTTAAATATGAATGTGGTGTTCTTTAGAAGGAGCTGTGTCTATGTGTCTAAAGGGAAAGTTCGCCATTTTGTCGTATAAAGTAAAATTGAAAGTGAAGGGTCACTCTGCTCCACAAGCAGGTTTCCAAGTGCCATTTGTGTGGGTTTCAGATGCAGGGTGATGGCAGGATATGGCCCTCAGTGTCTGTTTTTCAATTACTTCTGTACAGTATTTTCCAATAACAGTATTACCACAACTGCACTTCAAACATGAATTAGGTTGAAAGTAAAAATAACCCTGCTGGTTTTGACCCACTCCCCAGTGATTTTTTAACCACATCACTAAACTCTGAATTGGTACTTCTTACTGCTCCTGGTTTAGCAGTATAAAGATTGAGTGACTTAAAATTAGAATGGACAGAACATGAAAGAGTACACTTTAAGGAAAGTTACTGTGCCATTGTCAGGATGGACCAGATAACCTACTAGATTTAACATGTATAACATACATGATCATGTATACCATTATCCTTATTACCTTCCAAAATGTAATACAACATTATTTAAATAAACCTGTAGTATGCACTCAAAAAGCAGTAAGGCTAAAGTGTGTTTCTATGGATTTCAGATAATTACCAAAATATTACTGAATTTTCAGGCAGGCCACTAAGACACCAACCATAGGTCTGCTGGGAACTACCTTTTTTAGACTCATTTCTCTTTTTGTAGTGACTGTGAGCTTCAACACAGTTTCTTTTGAACGGAGATACTTTCCCAACGTTGCTCAGTGTGAAATTTTTCCATGACAGTGCTTGCTATATTATTATATTAAATCTGAAATTTTAAATAGGTTTTATTTTTAAATAATGATTTTACTAAATTAACTAATAACTCTACTAATTTATCTGAGAACTTAGTTTGTGTTACATTCACCCAGTTGCATAACCTACAATGAAATGAAGAAATCAGGATTCTTTTTGAGTACATATAAATAACATGTCCATTTTTAAAGCAGAGGCTTATAACTTAGGAGAACTGACAATTCTCAAATACCATTAGAAATCACAACACCAAGTCAGTTTTGAAAATCTGCTTACATATCTGATCTCTCAATGAAAATACTTTTTAAAAGAATGTTTGGAATTCAGTTGAGTATTACTCAAGAACATGTTTAATATGCAGGATCTGAACACTAAGCACATTCAAATGTTAAGCACCTTTGTTTCATTCCAGAGCCATAAACTGACAAGTATTACAGAATTCACTGGAGCTTTACCTTTGCATTTTCTTTGTTGCAGGGATAGTATAACTGTATTACAAGACTGAACCCATATTAGCTCTAGACACATATTCAACTACTTTCTACATTCATGTAAATATTTTTGGCTTATTGAAATTATTTGAAAACAGAAGGATAAAAAAAAATTGAGAGCCAGTGTGACTCCTACACTTAGTCCAGTGGACTTTTGATAAGGCTGTTAAGTGGTTTAGACTACTGCTTTTGTGAAATGCTTGGAAATAGCAACCACTCAAAATAATATAAACAAATAATCCAACAAGTGAGAAATTAATATCTGTCATATTTTCCATATTTCACACAGCTGTGTATGTGAGTTCAATAACTTGGATGAAACTAGTGGTAGTCTTTTTAATTTATAAGATTATCAATGCCATGAATGAAAAATCGGGATTGCAAACCACAGTTTGACAAAAACACATAAGATAAATCAATGATTACTTCTAATTTTCAAGCAGTAATTCACCTTTATCCTTGACCTATAGTTAAATTTCTATAGACTATTCACAAAGGTGTGAATCCAAACAACAAAGCTCAAATCCAAGGGAAGAGGTTATGAATGGCCAACTTAACTGGTAATGAAAAAATAACACCAACACATCTGAAAGCTCAGAAGTGTGTGAGGGTTCAAAAAAGGGTGAGTAAACTCAACTTAAAAACACAGGTAGCTCTTTCAGCTGAATGTGATTACACAGCTGAGAAAGGCACTTCCATCTAACTCAGCTGGCATTGTCTGGAATGATGGGGTTTCATGTGCCTCCCTCTATCAACAGAATCACTGGGGCAGTGTCATCCCACACAGCCAGGGCTGCAAGTGAGTACCTGTCCACAGTCTATGTCTGGCTGCACTAATGGTTCCACCAAGAAGGGAAAGGCAGTAAATATTTTCCCAAATTTTCCATGTCATCTTTGTTTCACACAGATGGCCTCCAGCATTTTTTCCCTCATCATTTGGCAATTTTTATCAGTCATTAGAAAAGCAGAGTCATAACTTTATGTAGAGATGATGAAATGAAACCCAAACCCAAGTCATTCATTTACTGATGGCTACAATCTTATAACCTCACTAATTAGAATGATTCACATATGTGTTAATCACTAGGAGTGTCAAAACCAGTGTTCTGCTGTGCTATTAAAGAGAAACTTTGATCTAACATTAATGGTCCTAAATTATTCTCCAGAACTTGGACATCAGAGAGTAAGCCTATTCAACAGCACTGTCACAGAAAGCCTACAAAATTCTCGCTCATTCACCTATCTGAAAAACACTAATTTCTGAGCTGCAGAACCTGTCTTTCTGATTGAAACAATCACAGGTGTGACAAACTAGACCATTTTTAATAGGTAGGGTACTCTTGGGAAATAGAGAATGATAGGTTTAACCGTCATTACATCTGTCATTGTCTCAGGCAGTACACTGAAGTACTGGATAACAGAATAAACAGCTTACTCATCTGGCCATAAAAAAGACACATAAAAAATGGGTTCTTTTCTTCATACCTACATCCCTTCCAGATTTCGGTTTCCTGTCTCCCTTCAGCATTTATCTCACTGATTCTGCTCAGTACAAAAGCAGTTGTGCCAATCACATTATCAATGGCCTCTTTATTCCTGTGCATTTAGTAGAAATCTCAGGTATGTTGTAATGACTACCATGATGCATAAGTGGCTTCTCTGTGTAGCCACAGGTGATACCCCTTCGACACACTGCCTTCATTCTCAGTTAGCCAGCACAGCATTTTCACACTTACAGTAGGGCAGAGTGGGTAAAAAGCACCAGTAAATTAGACTATCTTTAACAGTTACTTTGTTCCTGCAGAACTGGTGACACATAGGAAAATTTGTTAAGAATTACTGTGCAAGGAATAACTCTCCATGTCAGGATTCAGGATCAGGAGAAGAAATATGGGGTGATGAGTCTGACCTGTCTTGGATTCTCAGAGTGAACTGAATAATCTCTGTTTCTTCTTATTGACTCTAAACCAAGCCTGGAGTGAGTTTTTAGTGTTGCAGGCTTTCTATATGTACCTTCTCACAAAACCTCATTGTGCTCCTAACAGAAAAATTTCAAAATAAACTCTTATTTTAAGAATCACATATAACAACAAAGCAAACCAGACTGGATATTTTCTGATAAATATTCACAGTTCTGATTATGAGGGAGCTTTAAAAATATAAAGTAAAAAATATATCAAAGTATTTTGTTGAAACTCTATCTGAATTTGCCCTGATTTGATGTCAAACATGGAAAATCCCAAGCCATTTCCTTGCTAATGTTACTGAACAGTGAAAACAATCTTAAAATAGAAATTGGTCACTTTTGAGACAACATGAGGAAAGATACTTCTTTTGTCTGTCGAAGCAGGAACTTTCTTTGGAAATGTAGACATCTGGGAGATAACTGATTTTTAAATTACATAATTAAAATATCTAGCACCATATATTATAGAAGTTGTGTGTCAAAATACATCTACTTGTTTGGATATGCACTAAAACTCTGTACACCACAATGCAATTTATTTCTTACAATGTCGTAAGTATGGAAAGTTTTTTCAATATTGAGGCTTCAAATAACTTCCAGTTCTACATTACAAGATATATACATTGACATAATTTTACAAAAATCCAGTGCAATCCTACTAAAACTACTAATTATTTGCTATGGCATAATTATATGAGTACAATGATAATCTTACAATCATATAGCACTGGCAAACCTGATGAATCCCTAAGCACTTTAAAACTTCAGCTGATTACACTGCATCAAAAGCATGTTCTTGCTTTTGGTTTAGAGGTGTGGAAATACAGACATTGAATATGAAAATCCATAAGTCCCAGGAAATAATCTATTTATCCTGCAGATGTCATGAGCTATATTAGTTCACATCTGTGTTTTTCTGAGAAGTCCTGAGAAGTCACATAATTTCCAACCTTTCCATTCACTATACATATATTTATGAATGTGTGTCTGAGAATTTAGATGCAAGTGGCTCATAAGGGGTGAGCAAACAAATAGTAAAAATAGCAGTATATAATTAGTCATTTTTCCTGCTTCTAAAATGCAGCCAGCTTTGGACAAAAGATTAACAACCTTTAACACAGCAAATGGCTAAGTGAGAATAACCAGTGACAATGTAGTACAGGAAGAGGATAATACCATATCTAAGTAAAACTGCAAGGAGAATTAAAGAAAGCAGACTGTAATTAACAAAGTTAGTGTTTGGCAAGGACACTGGGGTTAACGTTTTTCCTTTTGTATAAAGTGTCATGGGATCTTCAATGCCTGTGTGCAAAGACTGGAACATGAGAATTTCCATTCACTGGGCTCAGTCCTGAAAGATGCTCAACTTTGAAGCTTAGACCAATTATAAAAGCTAACTTCGGCTGAAGTACCTGAGCAAGTGCCTGGCTTGAGCTCAGCAGCGCCTCATGAGAGCCTGTGACCTTGTGCTTGCTGGCAGTGTCCAAGACGAGTACCATAAAGGCCTCATCCAGAGGAGCTTGTTATATTCAGTACTTGGGTCTGAACTGCTAAGCAGGCAGGACTGTGTGGCAGACATTAAGGGTTCATTACCCACATGGATGGCTAGCAATGGACAGCTGTGATCACAACTTGCAGTCTCTAA